TATTTTCTGACAGCCCAGAGGAGGTGTCTGCTGCTGTGACACCTAGTCCTCCCCATAGCCCTCAGAGTTCCTGCCCCTCCCCTTCTGCCATGGAAGCCATTCCATGGAGCCAATCAGAAGATGAGGGCTCTAGCAGCCAAGAAGAGGAGGGGCCAAGCACCTCGGAAATCACGGAAGGTGCCCTGTGTTTGAAGATGGTTAGGCTGTTGGCTTTCTTGTTCCTGAAGTACCATGCCAAGGAGCCGACCACAAAGGCAGAAATGCTGAGCAGCGTCATCAGAGAGCATCAGGACCACTTCCCTGAGATCTTCAGCCGCATCTCACAGTGCCTGCTGCTGGTCTTTGGTGTTGATGTGAAGGAAGTGGACCCCAGCGACCACACCTATATCCTGGGCACCGCCCTGGGCCTCACCTATGATGGGATGGAGAGTGTGCCCAAGACCGGCCTCCTGGTCATGGTCCTGTGTGTGATCCTCATGGAGGGCGACAGTGCCTCTGAGGAGAGAGTGTGGAAGGTGCTGAATGATATGGGGGTGTATGAGGGGAGTGAGCATTACATCTATGGGGAGCCCAGGGAGCTCATCACCAAGGTTTGGGTGGAGGAACAGTACCTTGAGTACCGGCAGGTGACCGATAGTGATCCTGCTCGTTACGAGTTCCTGTGGGGTCCCAGGACCCACGCTGAAACCAGCAAGTTGAAAGTCCTCGAGTTTTTGTTCAGGGTCAGTACTAGGAATGCCAGTTCCATCCCATCCCTGTCCTAGGAGGCTGAGTGATGGGGAAGAGGGGGCCTGAGCCACATTTGCATCCAGGCACATTTCAGGCCCACACCCAGCAGCTTCTCCTGCTGGGCACGAAGGGAGGCCGGTTTTTCACTCTGTGTTTGAGGAGTTAGTCATCAGCGTTCTAGGTAGGGAGGGCCAGGGCAAGTGGGGGGAACATGTGTGTAGCATTTTCGGGCTCCTATGATGATTTGGAAATTGACCTTTGTTTCCTTTAGGGATTTCTCAAATGTTGTTCCTTTTAATAGAAAGTTTAATGAGTTTTTTCAGCATCTTAATTTTGTGAATGACTTTGGCCATACATGTATTTGTAATAAGCAGTTCAAGAGTAAGAGTTGTGCTATTGTTTAACACAAATTGGGACCCTTTCCTTCCCAGTTTGTGATCCCGAACTAGATCCCATTGTATTGGAGCAGGATTTCCTTGGAAATGTGAAAGAGCTTAGCAATACAATCGAATGGGTCAAGAAATAGAGAAATAAAAGTAAAAGGTTGGAAACTCTTGCTTGTTATCCCTTCTCATGTGTCATTCTGTGAAACGTTATATATGTATACCCAGAATGACTTCGTTCATTCGAGAAAGTCAGAGACATTTCATCACAATAAACAAGACCCCTGCTCCGTGGTTCCCTTATTGCCAGACAGTCACTGAGCCTCTGTCCTCTGAAAGGCCATGTGTTAGTAGTGGGGACACTAGAATCAGCAGGACACACCCACCCATAGAACGAAATGTCGGAGCCCCAGTCCTATAAGGCAGGTAGGTGGTAAGGGGTCCCTTGAGTCATAGGGAACAAGTGAAAGAAGGGGAGACGCAGTGCGGCTCTAGGGGAGAGCACTCAAGTGTAAATGGCCCGAGCCAGGGCCGTTTGGGGCTTTGGGAAACTGATTCCCTCTGTGGGGGGTGATTGTGATGAAGTTGGTGGTGGCTTTGGCCGGATAGGGCAGATGGTGTTTCTTGGGCATTAAGAGGAAAGTTTGAAATGGAAAATTGTTCTGAGAGGTTCCTTGGGATCATGGAGAAATCTCACCTGTGACAGGTGGCAAAGATGCCCTGCACTTTTGTCCCTGAGCACTCAGACACAGAAAAGTAGGCGTTTTATCCCCATCATCTGCAAGGATTTCTGAGCAATCAGGGTCTTGGTCCCTGATGTAATGAAGTCACTGGATAGGCACTCTTCCATCCGGTCAGGGAAAGGCAGAACTGACACCACTGAAATGACAATTTACTTCACTTACCTTGCATTCTGATGGCCAATTGTAAGTAAGGACTATTTTGCTGTGGAAGACCCCACACCCAAATAAAAATAATCCAGCCTCTAGGAGGGAAATAGATGAAGCAGCAATTTGGGCTGCTTTTCTATTTAGATTCCTATTGAGCTGCAAATTCTCAGATATGTCACGGGAGAAACATTTGCAGAAGAGAGTGGTAGGGTCTATGGTGAAAATAATACTGAAAAACTAGCTATCATTAAAGACCCAATATACACCAGGTACTTTGTCTGGTGTTTTAACACATCCCCTACATTCCAACAGTTCTACAAAAATGGTTTATCAAACCATTTTACAGATCAAGAACCTAAGGCTCATAATGCTTGGTAATTTTCCCAAGGTCACGGGGCTAGTAAAGAATGAGGCTGACCTGAATTTGTCTTTGGCCACACTGTTCCTGGTCCTTCCAGTCTGAGGCCGGCCTTCTGTGAGCTAATTCATTTTCTTCTCACCACTCCATAATGTGTCTCAAGGGACAGAAGGTCAAGGCTCAGTTTCCAAAGTACTAAAAGCAGCCCTAAGGAAGGAAGGCGAGAGTGGGTATCCAACAAGATGTATGGACAGTCTGTGGCCTTTTTCATTTTGTGTCCCCTTCCAGCACCCCAGGGTTCCTTCAGAGCTGACTCTACCCAGGTGCTGGCATTTCTGTCCCGTCCCAGCACTTTCCCACCTGACAGCACCCTTCCCTTTGTCTTCATCCCTTTGCCCTCCTGTCCAACTCCTGAACCTGGCTCACAACAGCTGCCTCTTCTGAGCCTCTGTCCTCTGGAAGGCCCTGTGTTAGTAGTGGGGACACTTGGATCAGCAGAACACACCCACCCACAGAATGATAGGCACCCTGCTCCCAGTGCAACGGCCCAGAATCCCCTGCCCTCCCCCTGACATAGAGCACGCCTTTGTTTAAAGAAATCCCTTGCTATTTCATTACTAATCCTGGAACCCCTGTGGTGGCAACATTTTCTTTGACATAAAAGTTCACATTGGACAGTGACCTTTAGACACCTGGTCATGCACTAGATTTTCAACATACATGCCAATTATTCCAGTGAATGGTGATTAGAGCTGATATGGCCCATAAGCTGGTCATTATTGTTTGGGGGGTGGGGTGTAAAGTTAGGGGGAGGCTTTTGGAAAGCAGGCATTTGCAGTAGGATTTTCAAGAGGTGTCTTATGTGAAACTGGCCACGGGACACATACACAGATGGATCAGCTACCCTAGGTGATCATAAAATAAAGGCTCCCTAATGAGTCATATGTGAGGAATGATATGGAAATCACTGTGGAGAAAACATTCATGGAGCCTGAATTTCAAACACCCTGAGACCCCCCTAGGAAGTGAAAAAGGGTTCCTTGATAGACATGCTAGCTCTGATTTTAAAAAGAAACATAACCATCTTTCCATTTTATGGGTGTACGTCCCCACAGGGAAGTCCTGGATTGCCATATGCCTGATATCACCTGCCCCAGTGTCCATGCATGTTTATAAATGTAGAAGGTGTTAGAGACTCACAGCTGAACATCGTGACCTTGCATGAGAAGGAATTCGAAAACTTGCAGCCCCATGAGATTCCAGAGGACATTGCCATGGGATGTGCAGGAAGGTGCTCTGGAGAGAAGACAATGGTCCCTCCCTGCTGAGATGTACAGAGTAATTTGAAAATTAGACGTGATCCTGGGTTTGAAGCACCTGCCAAGAAGTAGCAGGGTGCTGGGAAAAGGTGGAGAATTTCAAGGGAAATGTGACTTTCTGAGAAACTCCTCCCCACAACGAAGGGGATTTTGTCATAAATGACAGCAGCTGCTTTTTGCAGTCTATTTTTTTTTTTTAGCTGAGCCATCCCGCCACCTGTTGGCAGCTCACGGCTGCTCAGCTCGGGCTGACTCGAACCGCTGTTGCTCAGAGCTCAAACTCTTGAGCGAGCTCTTAACCAACTGAGCCACTCAGCCGGCCCTTGACAGCAGCTGCTTTTTGATTAGCATCTACTATGGGATGGTGGATTGGAGAGGTATCCAGTGCTCATCCTCACTGTGTCTTCCTCTCCTCCCTGGATGAATGGGGACACTGCATTGCCACACTTCTCTCTTTTTTTTTTTTACAGATTTTTATTGGGGAATTGGGGGAAGGGGAACAGACAAGTTGCTGTCGTCTTGTTCTTCAGTCTAGTTGTGGAGGACGCTGCCTCACTGGCCCAAGTTGGCACCATCATTGCGCTCTTCCCAGGCGAGGCAGATCAGTTGCCGGCTTCTGGACAGCCGCTCACTGCAGCTACTGGCCGCTCACGCTGGCTGCTGGCTACACACGGTAGCCCATGGCAACCCACTGCCACAGGGACCGCAGCCCACGCCATCGCCGGCGACTCACGGCAGCCCAGCTCCAGGTCGAGCCACCGTTCAGCATCTTAGCTGTAGAGGGCAGTGTCACTGGCCCTCACATGTGGGATCCGAACCAGGGCTCTCTGGCATCCCAAGTGAGTTCTTTAACCATTGCACCACTTGTCCGGCCCCTTGCCACACTTCTTATACTTAGGAAGGGTCACGTGATGATCCTTTGCCACTGAATACTGAGCCAAAGCATTGTGTGTCACAGCCACTTCTATAGAAGGCTCCACAGGGTCCGAGGATTTGTTCTCAAGCCATTACAACACAGACACAGAGCCCTGTTTGTCCTCACCCAGTGACTTAAGTCATGCACATTTGCCCCATAGGCGTGTGCCTTTAAGGCCCTGGGCAGGGGTGGGGGCATTCAAAATTAGAGCCCGCTCATGGGAAGCTGGTTGCAGGAATTCCTTCATGCCTCCTGCACCCTAGGCCCCTGAGCTGCTCCCTTCAATGCCCTCAGTGCTGTGATGAGTCAGGATTAGGAGGCCAGCAGCCAGCTGGCCCTGTTGGAATGGGGGTGACCTCCTACAGGGTCCCAGCTAGCACCAACATCACCGCTGCTGTCCACACAGCACATTCTCTGTTCTCCCTGGCCTCCATTTGCACAGCTTGGAGCTTTGCCCTGACTGTGTCCCCACAGACAACTGCTCAGTCCCCAGTGCTGATGTTCAAGTGCAATAATCTTCACTTGACAGTCCCCAGAAGAGAGTTCCCTTTCAGGACAGGGTGGTTCAGGCAGAGCTGGCAGGACGTAATGCATTTTCTCAGTGAGTCTCCTAGTCACTGGTAAATGTGAACGAGTGACTAATTGCTGTGAATATGAGTTATTGTCATATAATTCTTGTTGTAACGCCCAGACATTTGATTAAACTGATGTCCCTGTTCAGGTGACTGTGAGGCTTTGGTGTGTGTGGCAGAGGCGAGGGGGGGTGCTGGGGTGTCTTGTCATCCACCCACAGAGCTGGTCAGGACCTTGGTATCCCAAATAAGCAGTTTGAGTAAAGGAAAGGCCGTAGCACATGGCAGAGGTAGTCACCGGGACACTCCCCCAGGCCTCAGACACTCCAAACTCAAATGAGGATTTGGAAAGGGCTTGGGCAGGTAAGGGATTTTGGGTCCCAGGAGGCGGGCTGTGAAGGGGCTCAGTTGTCCTGACAGAGGTTGAAGGACCAGCACCTGCCAGATCCCATCTGCACTGCCCTGGGCTGGCCTGGCGAGGAACGTGGGGACAGATGCAGCAGGAGGGGAACTGGGGCCCTGGACCACATCGTGAAATGGGTGTTCTCAAGTCCCAGACCAGAACCCTGTGGGACACTGCAGGATGGAAGCAGGGACACTGTGTGCCTGCTTTTGGAGGGAACTGCCTGGTGTGGGACAGTGCTCGCCCTGAGAGGCTATGGCCCACAGGGTGGTGGCAACTGTACGTCCCAAGCATCCCCCAGGTCCTTCAAGGAGGCCTTTCCAGGGTACAGCATCTTGTCAAGCAGCCTCTGTTTTGGCACACACCAACCAGGTAGGTGCCTAGCCAGTCCCGACCAGGGGTGAGGGCAGAGCACCCAGGTGCTCCCCTGTCCCTCAGCAGTAATGTTCTGACATTCTCTAGATGCCCTGAGCCTGCCCCCTGAGCAGCTGGTGTGACAGGTCTCTGCCATGGTCCTGCTCTCCTGAGAAGTCCCCATCCCCCAGCCAGGTCTAGAGCCTGCTCTGAACTCCAGCCTCCTTGGCAAGGGGCTGACCTTCAGCCTGGCTCTCTTCTGCCCTCCTCTGTGGCAAATATCCCTGGCAGCTGTCCTGGGACCTTCACGAGCAAGTAATTGGTCCTGGGTCTCTGCCTGTCCTTGGTTCCTGAGCTGGGGCTGGGTATAGTGAGAGGACTGAGCTGAGGCAAGATGCAGGCTGTGATGCCAAGGGACGTCCACAAGGGAGAATCAGGGGCAAAGCCATCTTTTCCCACACTCAGACAGATGGTTTGTTCAAAAGGGCCCCACTGACCCTCACCCATTTGGATGCATGAGTGTCATCGGTCCCATACTCACTGTGCTGTGCACTGCTTGCCTGCTGCTGTGTGCCTGACGTCCAGTCTGCCCAGGGGAGTGAGCCACAGGACAACCTTGCTTTTTGTGAGAGCACCAGTAGAGTACAGGGCTGTGCCTCCAGTGATGTTGATGTAGTTCAGGTACATCTAATTCCCAAAGCTTTGGATATGAGGCCTTGGGGTAGTCCCACTTTCCCCATATATCCTCTTGGACAGGCCTGTATGCTTCACCCCACCCCCAAGGTAATTTGGCTTGTCAGAACAAAAGAATCCATTGGCAACCTGTTGTGTCTTCGTGTCCTATTTCCTGGGCAAGGCAGCCCCCAGCCTGGCCATCTCTGGGCCGACTGTGGGCCTGCAGGGCAGTGCTTCAGCTCTGGGACTCCCTGGGCCCTCACCAAAGTAGTATCTGCCCTACAGGCTGCAGACTCTGAGCTGCCTGCCTTGTCTCAGTGAAGCTCTTAAAAGGGCAACAGTGCCTGTTATTCAACTGTCTTAACAAATGAAAACACTCACTCCTTAATGCCGTTTTGGGGTGAGGCTTCCCATAATGAAGATTGCGCTGGCCTGTCTGGCCACTGGCAAGTACCTCTTTCTAGCAGAATGAGGGCTGAAGTTTCAACCAGCCCCAAGTTGCATCTTTGCTCCTACACCCTTGCTAGCTGGGTGACTCAGGGCATTTTCTACAAGCTTCTGTGTGCCTCAGCTTTCCTTCCTGATTTTAAATGTTCATTGGGAACCTCCTCATGGGTAGACACTGGACTCCACCTGGAGGATAGACCAAAATCTCAGGGACAGGGCCCTGGTGCTTCAGCAGCTGACAAACTTGACTCAGGTTGCTCATCCTTAACACCAGCTCACATAATAATACCCACTCTTCAGTGGGTTTGGGGAGCCTAATTACCACTTGAGAAATGCTTTTAACTTCTCAGAAGAAAGGTGATACGTCAGGGCAAAGCATGACTGTCATAATTGTGATCTCAAGTTGCCCCCAGGACTAACCCATATAAAACTGCCATTCATGCAACTCTGCTATAGTAACAATGACTATTATTCATGATACTGACGAATGCGTGAGGTATCACTGTGCTCATGGAAAACTCTTAAATCAGCCCGAAGTGAAGAAGACAGACTAGGTCACCTTTGGTGAGCTTGTCCTGCTCTCCAATGCCATAAGTAGACTCCTTGAAGAGGTAGGCATCTGAGAGAGCACCAGATAGTAACAGCGTCCTTTGAGCACCTAGCGTGCATAAAGCAGCGTATGATGCACACTATCTCACTGAAGCTTCCCAACAAGTTTAGGGAGTAGGTTTTATTGTGTCCATTTTACAGAGGAGAAAAGTTGAGGCTCAAAGATGTTGACTCCCTCCAATGAAGATGAACCTGGCAGTTATAAATATGATGGCCTGGAGTGGGCCGAGATCAGGTGTGAGGGGACCAGAAAGGCTAGTCAGGAGCCAAGGAGCCTCTAAAGTAGGTTAACAAAACGAGGCCGATGCCCAGATTTCTAATCTGGACACCCCCACCCCCAGTGAATAGGTCTGCTACTAAAGGAGAGGCAACCGAGGAGGAAAAGGCAGTTGGGAAGGGAAGACGACTTCGGTGCAGGGTTCCTGCGTTTGGGAAGGCCAGCTATCTCCCCTGAGCTGGACTGGGCCTTGGGAAGGAATCTGAGACAGACTTTGGAGTCACTGACAGATCTGACAGGTGAAACCTGGGAAGAGATCTCCAAAATGCAACGTAGCACCCGTGGCCACTACCTTCCCTCCCCACTCTACCAGGCTCAGTGCTCACTAGGAGGCATCCTCAGAAGGCACCGCAAGCCAAGGTGACAGGTGTCCTGGAAGCCCACACCGGGGGGCCTCCTGGGCGGCCCGCTCCCTCCCCGCAGGCCTGCACCCAGTCGGCGTCCCCACTCGGGTCTCCGCCCCCTCTCCCGACCCCGATCTCTTCCAGCCTCCAGCTCCCGGCCGTCTCCTCCCCGCACCGCGCGGGGATGAAGGGCCAGGGTGTCGCGTCACGCGCGACCCGGGGCGCTTCCCAGGGCCGGCTGGGCGGGGTCCGAGGCGCATGCGTGGTGGCCGTACGGAAGCCCGGAAGGAGGGGCGGGAGGCGGTGGCTCAGGTTTCTCTGGGCGGCGGAGGCGGCGGGGACGCGGCTGCCGCGGGCACCATGAACCCGCTGTAACGCGCAGTCTGCGCGGCGCGGGGGGCGGGGGGAGGAGGAGGCCGCCGCGGTGAAGTTCTCCGCCATGAACCTGAGGGGCCTTTTCCAGGACTTCAACCCGAGGTGAGGCATCGCAGGCTCGGTTCCGGGGAGGCGCGGCGGGCGCGATGCTGTAGCGGGCGCAGGGCAGCTGTGGTTCCCGGCGTCGGCCCGCTGCCTCGACCTGCGCCCAGTGCCTTCAGCACCCCCGGCCCGCCGAGCCACCATCTAGAACCTCCCGGCTACGGCCCCCTGCCCGGCCCCGTGGGAACCCGGTTCCTCTCGGTTTGCCCTCCTTCATTGCTGTCCCAAGTTCCCCTCTCCATTCCAGCTTCTTGCACCCCGCTGCCTGGCTCCCGTTCCCCGCGCCAGGGCCATTGCACTTGCCTGCGCACCCCTTAACCCCCACCCCAGCTGTTTTTCTCAGGTCCTCTCAGCCCTTGAGGTTTTCGTTGGAGGTAAGCCCATCCTTCCCTTGTTTGCATCTTTGTCGAACTGACATCTGAAACGTTGAATCGCTGGAGTTGGTGTCAGGGTATGGCAGTACCTTACATAATGCCTTCGGGGGTGAACCTGACAATTTTCCATACGCGGGTTCTCATGTCTTCACTCTAAGTTGATTTGCAGGAAGTGATATTGCTGCCCTATTTCCCAGTTGGGGAATGTCCAGTGGACAGTGTGGAGAGAACACTGGCCAAGGAATCAAGGGTCCGTCCTCGCACTTGCCCAAGTGTTCTGAAACTCTGTTCCCTCCCCCAGGCTGTGAGCTCCTGAAGCAGAGACAATCTCCTGCGTATCTCACTACCCCCAGGATCTCCCACCTTGTCTGACAAATAGGAGACGCTTATGAAATATTTGAGGAACTAAACTGGGCCCTAAGACCTGGATTGGAGACCAGGCCATAAGCAACTGGGTGATGCTCTGCTCATCTGAAAAGGAGTTGGCCTGACTGAGCTCTTAAGCCCACTACTCTATGAAGGGAGTACCTGTTTCCCTTATTTGCTGGTGGGAAGCCATGTGCTCAATAAACCTTTTGTCTGCTGGGTCCTATGCCAGGTGCCTTCGATGCTGGGAGGTCCCAGCTTGGGGGTGGAGAAGGGCATGTAAAGAGATGATTTCCAGCCCTGTGTGGGAGCCCAGTGGAGACCACTGTCTGCGCAGCTTGTGGGGGATGAAGCCAAGTCTTGGGAATGTGTGCCTGTTGGGAGTGCAGTCTCCTTAGGGATGGTGACATTTTAAGCCTCCAGCCATTGTGATTTCCTAGGTGCTCTTCTTCCTCTGTGAGCACACCCGAGTTCATTTTCTGATCTGGAATGTCAATGTCCCAATCACATTGTCGGCATTGTCATTGCTGGCCTCGAAGGCACTCTGCATAGAGGAGCTTGTTGAGAGCAGGTAACGGGCATCAACCTACAGTGCCTTCCCCTGCTGCTCCTAGGGGTTAGGACCCGTGTGCAGGGTGACAGGATTGGTGTTAGAGTTGGACATGCCTTGTGCGTTTACATTGTTTGGTGAGGGCGATAAGAAAGATATATAAAGCCTAAATTGTTTTGTGTCCTTGGGCCACTCACTTATCTGTCCATTTTATCTGGAGAATGAGCACAATTTCTCAGTAGGATAGGGAGGCCAAATTAACGATTGACTGCAAAGTGCTTTACAAATAGAAAGTTCCAGGACTATTTTGTAAGGTGACAGATCATTCAGAAGCTAGGAAGAACTGCCTCGAGGGATCTGACTGGCTATTTGAGTTGCCAAATCAAAGTAGTACAGCACAGATAACACCCTTAACCATTTTTTCCTGTAGTGTCTCCTCCAGCCCGCCTCCCCCAAATATTGTGTATGAAAATGAACAGGGAAACATTAGGTATCTGAACAGTTTTATAGTAATCATGCGCATATTTATCAACACTTTAAGGCTGCGGGGATTGAAGTGCATGCCTATCTGAAAAATCTTTTATAAGGTGCTATTTTCTGGATGCAGTGTTGAGTCAGTGGGAGTGACTAGTGTTACCTCAGTGACTGCTAAGACAGTGGCCAGGTCATATCGGCAAGTCTGATGTTTTAGCTGGTGGTGTGTCAAGTCTCGTGGGCATACCTGGTTTTGACATTGTTTTTTAGGAGGACCTTCTAGACAGCCAGAAAACAAACTGAGTGGGTGTAGACACTCCTGTCTACCTAGTGCCAGGGCTTCAAACCTCGTTTGCTGCTGCCTGGCTCCCTGCCTCTAATTCAGAGCCAGTTCAATAGCTCCCACCGACCCCAGGACTTTGGTACATACTGTTCTCTTTGCCAGAAATGTTTCCCTCCCCTCGTCTTCTCCTCCTGGACCTAGTTAACGCCTATTTATCCTCGAGGTCCCAGCTCACTTGTTAACTTACCAAGGGAAACTTTTCTGACTTCCCCAACCACGTCCACTAAACCGGTTGTAAAATCTCTGTAGCATACTGTGCCCCTCCTTCATAGTGCTTATCTGTACCCTAATATTTGTCTGCATGTTTGCTTGATTAATGCCTGTCTCCCTTACTAAATGCGCCCCTACTCTACTCTCCTACTATAAGCTCCATGGGGCCAGAGTCATGACTGTTCATTATAGTATCCTGCATACCTGGGATAGTACGTGGCTCAATAAATATTTGTGGAATGAATGAATGAATGAATGAATTACTGTCCAGAGCCTATAAGGGAAATCTAGAGCTGCTGCTTTCAATCCCTGCTTTCCTGGTAGTCTATGGCCTGGTTCTCTTTCCTTTCACCCTCTTTCCTCCTTCAGAATGCAGCCGTTCCATTAGAGAGACAGGCAAGGCCCTGACATGAAGGCAGAACGTGGCTGCCTTCACTTTGGGGATTATGTGTGTCACAGAAATAGTCACTGTCATGGATTTTGTGGGTCCCAAGACATGGGCCATGTCTCCAGATCGCCTTTCTGACCTCTGGGTCTTGGTGAATCTGAACCCACTGCTGTATTGCCAACGCTCTGAAAAACTTCAATGACAGAGAATGATTCATAAGTGTCAACACTCAGATGCACAGGGCTAGCAGCTGACCCTCTGCCTATTTCTATCTGGCTCAGAACTGGTTGATCATGAACTTCTTTTTAGTTACACAATAATTAAGACTTGCTCTGAACACACAATATGATACACAGATGATGTATTGCAGAATTGTACACCTGAAATCTGTGTAACTTTGCTAACAGCTGTCACCTCAATAAACTTTAATTTAAAAAAATTGATAATAATTAAGACTTGCTGAAGCAGACACACTGGACCCACCAAGGCCTTCCCTGAATGCCCGAAGCTTCCTCACAGCTAGGGAGCCCTGTGCATTGAATTGGCAAGCTATTAGAAGTATACAGAATTGGCAAACTGTGACCCCCCAGGGGTTCCTGGGAGGTAGAGATCTGGGAGTAGGTGGCATTAAGCTGGCACCGTGCCCTCCCCATGAAGCAGTGGGACTTTCTGCTACCTTGGTGGAGTTGCTGGCTCAGAGAAGGCTGTTCTTCAGCCCTGGTAGCCGGGCAGTACTCCAAGGCTGTGAGAACTCTGCTAGGCATTCTTAATCGTCTGCAGTGAATGCCGTGCGTCCACAGGTGTGCTCGACTAGAACAAAGGCCGAGGAACCCTGTCCGAGGGGTTCTGTCGAGTGGGCATGGAGTACTGAGGAGGTTGGTAGTGTTGAGAAACTTCCGTAGGCTGCAACTTCTAAAGTCACTCTGGAGTCCATGAAGTGATCTTGTCTCTTATTTGAAGTCAGAGAAATGAATGTGATCGCTGGTAATTGTCAATAAAAGGCAGCTACCTGACCTTTAACAATCTGTTTGTAAGGTATTTCTATTTAAAACATTCATTACTCAAACATCTCCCGAGTCCCTACTGTGTGCCAAGAGATGTGCTAGGTGCTCTAAGGACAAAAAGAAATGGGATATCGTCCCTCTCCGTGTTCAAGTCCAGCAGAAGCAGCAGAAATGAATAGAGAAATTCAAATTCAACCCAGGATGAGGCTGGCATTCCAGAGACAGGAGCAAATGCTGTGGGAGCACAAGAGGCAGAGCCCCTATTTCTGTCTAGAGCAGGCAGGCACAGTTCCACAGCTCGATCTTACAGGGTATAATTGAGTTTTGTCAGACCAGAAGGCAGGAAAGGCATCTGAGGAGGAACGAAGTATGCAAAGGCACAGGGTCATGGGAGGGCCTGGGGTGTTCAGACAGTGGTGAAAGGTCATTGTGCTGAGGGCACTGCAGGCAGCCTGCCAGGTGCTTGAAAAATACCGCATGTAGTATTAATGATTACTGCAAATACTATTTACATATTCTTTTTTAAACAGTACTGACTGCATGTTGGCATTGTTAAAGAACTACTTACCACCCAAATGTCTGTTTACCTGTCACTCTGTCATCGCAAAGCACCTATAATAAGAAAAGTCTCTTGATTATACTGAGGTTATTATTAATAATAGCTGTGAATTATGGGGCACCTACCACGTGCCAGGCACAATGCTGTTGCTTTGTATCTGTTATCTCGAATCTTGACAACAACCCTGTAAGTTAGATATCAGCCCTGTTCTGCAGAGTCTTAAAGAGCTTGTGACCTCCCTAAGACACACAGGCAGCAAGCGGCCAAGTCAGGATTCTAGAGCGAGTCTTGGTTCCCTCTGAAGCTGATGCCCTTTCCTGCATATCATGCGACCTCTCTAATTTAGTGACAGCCTTCCCCGCAATCAAAGGGCCTTCTATTGATGAGTTTTAAGTGATTAAACAAAGCAAACCTTATTCAGAGTTGAAACATCCAAATGAGTATTATCCTTCAAAAAAGTTACTTAGGGAAAAGAAAAATGTGTGTATATACACCTATTCTGTTGCTCATCCACCTTGTTACGCATCTGCCATTTCCTTTGGAGTCCGATTATATGTAAGGAAATCAGTTTTGTCGCTTTATAATCAAACACCATTTATGAACCAAAATAATGCCACCTAGTTTGATCACACATCTTATTCACTAAACTTGGCTCTGACTGACTTTGGGCCATTTCCAGAAATCGAATCTCCTCTTGGTGAAGAGTTGACAGCACTGAGAATTTTCAGAACA